AAGAATTGAGCTGCTTTGGACCCCCTCGCACATTAACAGCGGATCGCGCTCTCGCCACTCCGGAATTACACTCTCGCTGAGGACTTCTTCACAACTTATGAAGGAATCGCGCTCTCGCACGATGCCTCGCCAAAATTGACCCAGGACTCGCGCATTAGTGCCATGCCAGCCCGACCTGCCCCGTAGGGTCAACCCGCCCAACCCAGTTGTGTTACCCACATGGGGTTTACCCAGGAACTGGCACATTAACGAGGACGGAGGTCGAGGGTTTTGGGAAGAGATGTTACATTGCACGCGGGCAATCAAAAACGATCAATCTTAAACTGATTTGTGTTGACTTCTGACTTCTGTAGAAACCGCCACCGTGCCACCTGGCACGTTGAGGCGAGTACAATGGCAAGTGCTGTCTGGTAGGACTTCTGTAATCTTCTAAGAGCCCGTCCCTCTACTAGCATCCAGTTGCATGCATGCCCCCCACCCTCCCGAGGCTTCCTGAGAGAGAGGATGCGGACGATCATAGGGGAGGATGGGGAGGAGGAGGAGCAGGAGGAGGAGGAGGAGGAGGAGGAGAAGGGAGAGGAGGAGGAGGAGGAGGAGGAGAAGGAGGAGGAGGAGGATGAGGAGGAGGAGGATGAGGAGGAATGGGAGGAAGACCAGAGTAAACCCAGGAGCCATCAACGACGTTGGAATCAACTCTTCCTCCAAGCTCCCTCTTCATAGTCCCCTCCAGCAAGTCATTTCCACTGAGGGAACTGCCTCGTTGAAAGACAACCGTTCGAATACCCTCAAGCATGCCAAAACATTGTTCTCGGGATTCCAACGCCACGTATCAAACTGACTGTTGCGTCTTGACGATCCTGAATCGTGCCAGAACGCCATGTTGCACCCTCATGATCTGACATCATTCCAAGCCACAATTTCTGGTACGTTGATCAAAGGAATTCGTGCAACTCTTGCACATTAAAAAACAAATGGTGCGCGGCACTAAACGAGAACCACACTTTGAAAAAAGAACCGCCCTTAATCCGTGAACCTCTCGCACATATTTAAAACGAATGCACGCGGCGCTAAAACGAGAGCCCAATACCACATTTTGAAAACCACCCGCCCTCAATCCGTGAAACTCCTACACATTCTTAAAACGAATGTGCGCGGCGCTAAGGCGAGAACCACATTTTGAACACCACCCGCCCTCAATCCGTACAACCTTTGTAAACTGCTAAAACGAATGGGCGCGGCGCTAGGGCGAGAGCCACATTTTGAAAACGACCCGCCCTCCATCTGTGAAACTGTTGCCAATCTTAGCACTGAAGGGTCATATATGGTGAAATCTCAGGCGAAACGCCTGGCCCGCCCTAAAAACTGGAATCGGGGTGCGAGAGGGAGAAATTATTCCTAAGGAGCAGGAATTGAGGAGGAGGAGGAGGAAGCGGAAGCGGAAGCGGAAGAGGAATAGGAGGAGGAGGAGGAGGAGGAGGAGGAGGAGGAAGAGAAGGAGGAGGAAGAGGAGGAGAAACAACCAGGAAAACGAGGAAGCAGTCGGTGGAGAACGCGCACTTCGGTACGCCTCACTGCGCGAGGAAGCCGGGTATGCTCCAGTGGTCGTGCAACCGCTCGTCGGCGCAGGCTTCCCTGGAGGCCGGAGGGGGGACGAGGGGATGGGACGAGTGCGGGAGGGTGGGGGCCCACGCTTCTCGCTTTGCGCCTGGTCCAAGGAAGGATGGGTGGAGGACGAGGATCGAGGTCTCCAAGATGGGGTGCGAATCGATGGGGTCGGAGGATCGCGCCTCATCGCCGATGCATTGCCGATGCATCGCCGATGCATCGTCGAAGTCGTCGATGCATCCGCGACGTCGACGTGGAGAAATCCGGGCTCCATATCGAGCCGACACGCGAACGCATCGGCGATGCAGGGGAGAAGAGAGATGAGGAGGAAGGAGGAGCTCCTTTTGGCAGCAACCTGGTGACCGGGCGGCAGCACCAGCCTACAGGGTGCTGCGGCCAGAAGCATAGGAGCGAGGGCGATAAGCATGGCTCGGCCAAGCCCCGGCGCCCCGTCCAGGGTGCAAGGCCGCGAGAGAGGCCGCGCACGATGGCGGTGGCGAGGATGAACTGAACTGAGCTCAACACGAACCGAGCCCAACTCGTCGCCAACTGCGCTACACGCTGATGTCTGCACAGGATACTGGCATCGGTCGGGGATGGACAGACCTCCCTTTAGTAAAACGTGGTTTAGTGAAAACGACCTGAGGCCCAAACCTGGCGGGCGCAAGCCTGGAAAATCACGGCCGCGGCGCCCTCTCGAGAACTGAAAACGGACAACTCACGAATCGACGTGTCACTGTTGGGGGTTCTGTCCCCCCCCGAATCAGCCTGGCTCTTGGCCTGTCCGGCGCCAGCCGGGGCGAAGGCCTCTCCTCTTCGCGGCCGGGCGCTGGCTCCGCTGGGACACCGCGCCGCTGCAGCGCTTGGCGGGGCGCGCCGTGCACGACGCGCAAGCCCTCGCCCAGAAGGACCTCGACGCGAGCGGGCGCCGGCTTGATGAGTGGGTCGCCCGGCAGCTACAGTCGTCGGCCTGACCTAAAGAAGCCCCTTTTGATCTCAAGGAATAACGCATAAGAAACGATAAATAACAACTAACGCATAAGGAACTGTACATAACGCATGCAAACCTAAGGAACGACCGAGCCCCTTTTGAAAAGTAAGTGTTCCTTATTCATGCCGCTCGCTGTACGCGGAGGCGCTGCTGGCGTTCACGCTGTGACGGAGGCGCCGATCGGCTGGCGCGAAAGCCCGCGCCAGGACGGCGGTGTGCCGGCGCGCCGCGGCGCGGAGATCCAGCAGCTCGAGGAGGCGTGGGAGCGCCTCTGGAGGGTTGAGTGCGACCACGTCAGGAGGAGGAGGAGGAGGAGGAGGAGGAGGACGAGGAGGAGGAGGAGGGGGAGGAGGAGGAGGAGGAGGAGGAGGGAGGAGGAGGAGGAGGAGGCGGAGGAGGATGGAGGAGGAGGAAGGAGGAGGAGGAGGAGGAGGAGGAGGAGGACTCGGGCGGCCGCGCACGTCTCGTTGCGGCACGGCTGCCTCGCTCGGTGTGGCCAGGCCGCGCCGGCTCCTGGAGCTAAGCGACGGGGCCCTCGAAACCTTCATTGGACATCTTGGTGGCGGTGGGGCCCACCGCCGAGTGGCCAACCGTCGACACCAAAGTCTGCTTTCTGGCCAACCGGCTTGGCGGGGTTCGGCCCATCGCGATCGTTCACGTGCTGGCGAGGGTGCGGGCGAGGCTGCGCAAGCCGTTGGCGGTCGAGTGGGAGAAGCGGAACGACAGGCCGTTCTTCTGGCCTTCGCGCGGCAGGGGCTGTGAGCGCGCGGTCTGGCAGCAGGGGGCCGAATGCGAGTGGGCCACCGCCAGAGGCGGGGCGGCGGGAGACCCAGAGGCGTGGATCTCGGCGCTGGTGCTGCTGGACCTGCTCAAGGCGTCTGAGCAGGTGCGCCACCACCACCTGATCGACGCTGCGATCAGGGCAGGGTTGCCCCTGCGGCAGCTCAAGCTGCAGATCGAGCTGCACAGGCCCTGTGGCGCCTGGTGCTGGGGGAAGCGGTTCGCGACCCGATCGCCACTGAGCAGGCGGCCCTTCCGGGAGATGGGCTCGCCACGCTCATGCCCAAGATGTTGCTGCTGGCGCCGCTCGATAGGCTGCAGGAAGCCTCGCCCACGGTGGATGACATCATCCTGAGAAAGACAGGAGGGCTGCAATGCACAGTCCGTGAGGTCTCGGGCGCAGCCTTTCAGGCTGAAGACGCTGCTGGGTGACGGCGATCTGCAAATCTCCACCAAGAAGTCTCGAGCGCTGGCCAACCATCCAGACGCTAGGAAGGGTCTGGCTACGAGGCTCAAGCAACCGCTGGGGGTGGTCGACGTTGAGCATGAGCGGAACCTCGGAGTCGATTTCAGCGGGGGGAAAAGAGTGGTTCGCGCCGTCCGCGCTGAACGCCTGCAGCTCGCGCGCCAGCGGCTGAGGCGGGTCCAGGTCGTCAAGACGAGGACGTGCAAGAGGGCGGCAGCCAGGAGGGTGGCCAAGACTGCCCTGCAGCCTAGCGTGGCCTGCGGCGTCGGGGTCACGGGCTGCGCCCAAGGGGAGCTGGACAAGCCCAGGGCCCTCACCTTCGTGGCCACGTCCAAGTCCACAGCCGTGAAGGCGCGCACGCTCTCGCTGATGTTGCAGCCACAGCTCGACCCCGATCGTCGGCGCGTCCCTGGCGCCCGTGATGATGCTGCTGCTGCGCGCGGTCTGGGAAGGCTGGACGCCGCGGCACATGGTCGACTGCTTCCTGCAGGACCGAAGGACAACAGCGTGGCCGCACGTTTAAGGCCCCATGTCGGCCGTCGTCCCCACGCCGAGAAAGGTCGGCTGGGAGGGGCCGCGACGGTTCCGTGGCCCAGCCCTTCAACGCCTCACCACGGGTGATCAAGAAGTTGCTGATGAGGGCCATCGAGGGCTGGCAGTGGCGGCAGGTGGCCACGGCTCCAGGATGCGAGCACCTGGCCGCAGGCGGCGTGCTGGAGCCGCTTGTGCGGCTCACAACGACAGGCTCCGTCGCGAGGGTGGCCAGTCACAGCGAGGACGCGAGACCAGGCAGCAGAGTGCGCCTCACGATGCAGGAGCGCGGCTACCTCGCCTCCCTGGTCACTAACGGGCAGTGGCCGCGGGCGAGGAAGGCATCCGAGGGCATGGCCAGCTCCGACGTGTGCTTCTCGTGCCCAGAGCGGGGCACGCTGCTGCGTAGGCACTGCGACTGCGCCAGCTGGCAGGACGAGCTGCCAATGCCGGGTGCGATCCGAGGGCTGCGTGCGCGGGCAGGCCTCGCAGAGGTGACCTTTCTCCTTGGCTGGTGCCTGTGGCCAGCGCGCGTTGGACTTCCGAGGCCCGCACAGAATGACACGGTGTGCGGGCGGGGCGAGCACGAGGGGGTGCTCCCGCCGGGCGAGATCTACTTGGACGGCTCCGCCTTCGAGTCCGCGTTCGACGGCTACGCCTCGGTCGGCTTGAGCGCGGCCGTGCTGCGTGCAGATGCGGACGAGTACCTCATGTCGGTGTCTGGCCAGCTGTGCCAGCCCTACGTTGACATCAACGGGGGGGCGCTCATCATGGCCTGGCGCCTCGGCATGGGCCCCGTGGTGCTGGTCGTCGACTCCAAGTACGTGCGCGACGGGGTCATGCAGTCGGGGCGCGCCAACACCACGTGCTACGCGCACTCGTGGGCGCACCTCTGGAGGATCGCGTGGGATCTCACCGACGACTTGGGCGGGGTGGGCGTTCATGGAGTGCGAATTCGGTGGGTTCCCGCCGACCGAACCAAGCGACAGGTGGAGAGGGGCGCCATCAGTCACAAAGATTGGGGCGGCAACAGATTTGCCGACACGGCGGCCAAGGCTGCAGCGGAGCACGGAAGGGTCCCTGAGGAGGCCAGGGCGAAGTTGGCAGCTGGGCGGCAGATGGTGGATCTGGTCGCCATGTGGTGCACGGCTGTCGGCAGCTGGGTCGACGGCAAGGGCATCAGCCACAGGAAGGCGTGGCCACAACGGCCCGTCGAGCGTCCAGGCAGGGAGGCTGGAGAGGAGGCAGCGCGGCTGGCGTGTTCGCTACGCGGCGAGCCAGGCCAGAGCCAGTGGTGCGAGGTACGCCGCTGGCAGCGGCGCGTCGGAGAATACCCTGGCAGCATCGTCCCGTCGGCGGTCACGGCGAATTTGCTGCTCAAGCGTGTAGGCGTTCCCCACCACCATCTGGTGCGGATTTGGCCGACTGATGGCGGCAAATGGGTCGGGAAGCCTCCTCCTCCTCCTCCTCCTCCTCCTCCTCCTCCTCCTCCTCGGCGTACCTCAAGCGCGGGCTCACACGGGGGCGGCGCGCGCCGGCAGTCTCAGCCAGGAGTGCGGCCCACCTCTCCAGCGCGGACCTCGCTGCCCTCGCCAGGCTGGAGGCCGCGCTGGGGCCCCAGGTCGCGCAGCAAGTGCCCGTCGGGCTCGAGCACTTGCCGTGCGTGCTGGATGGCGACGACCCTGCCGGCAGCCAGCAGGAGACCTCCTCTGCGGCCCCAGCGGCGGCCTTGGGCGGCCCCCCGGCGGCGCTGGAGGCTCGCCCAGCGGTCTCTGGAGCCCCGCGCGGCGCGCCACCTCCTGAGGCACTTCCGGCGATCTTGGCGGCGGGCCCAGCAACGGCCCCCCTGATCGGGGGTCCGCTGACCCGGATCAATCCAGACCGGGGTCACTCGGGCCTTGCAGGATCCTGCAGGACCCTGCAAGATCCTGCACCCAAGCCCGAGTCAATGCGAAGGATCCTGCAAGATCCTGCACCCAAACCCGGGTCAACGCGACCCTGGCCCTGCAGGATCCTGCAAGATCGGGCGCTCTGGCTGACCACCGTTTGCATTGACCTCTCAAGGCTCCCGACCTGACCGCCCCTCGGCGTGGCTGGCGGCCCAGGCGGCCTCGTCTGTAGCCCTGGCGGCGGCCTCGTGCGGCCCCCGTGCGGCCCCGGCGGCTCGCCCGGCGGCCCCTGGCGGCCCGCGCGGAGCGCAACACGTCGGAGGCGGCGTGGCCTCGAGTGCAGCGCGTGAGGAGGAGGAGGAGGAGGAGGAGGAGGAGGAGGGGAGAGGAGGAGGAGGAGGAGGAGAGAGGAGGAGGAGGCGGAGGAGGAGGAGGGAGCGAGGAGGAGGAGGAAGGAGGAGGAGGAGGAGAGATGGAGGAGGAGGAGGAGGAGGAGGAGGAGGAGGAGGAGGAGGAGAAGAGGATGAGAGCCGAGGAGGAGGGAGTACAGAGATAGGAAGGAGGAGGAAGGGGGAAAAGGAGGAGGAAGGAACAGGAGGAAAAGGAGGACGAGGAGGAGGAGGGAGGGAGGAGGAGGAGGAGGATGGAGGAGGAGGAGGAGGAGGAGGAGAGGAGGAGGAGGAGGAGGAGGAGGAAGGAGGAGGAGGAGGAGGAGGAGGAGGAGTAGGAGGAGGAGGAGGAGGCGGAGGAGGAGGAGGAGGAGGAGGAGGAGGAGGAGGAGGAGGAGGAGAGGAGGAGGAGGAGGAGGAGCTTGGTCCGCCCGCCCCAGCTGCTGCTGCTGCTGCTGCTGCTGCTGCTGCTGCTGCTGCTGCTGCCCGAGGGGCGGAGGCTGGGACCGCTGCGAGGGGCAGAGGGCTCGCCAAGGGCAGGCCCGAGCGCAGCGGATCGCCGCGTGGCGAGGGGCGCCGTGCGGCCACGGCGAGCTGGACCCGCTCTGAGGAGATCGCCTATCTTTTCGACGCACGCCTGCCGCGGGCGCGGCGCGACAGAGGGGGTCGGGGTGGGCCCAAGAGGCCCTGCCACCTCGGCCGCTTGCTGGATCCGCCTCGTTTTCGGGTCTCGGTTGGCCCCGGGTGGCCGCCGTGCGTCCTCTTGGGGTGCCGTGCCTGCCAGGCCCAAGGGCCTGAGCGGGGTTTGGCGCGCCCTCCTCGGTTCCCTACGCGTAGGGATCCGAAGAGCTCGCGCCTCGGCGTCGGGGTTCCTGGGTCCTCGTCGCCACTGCGCTCGCGGGGCGCGAGCGTGCTGGCCCGCCGCGGAGAGACGTGGCGCGCCTAAGCCACGGGCATCCTCCTCCTCCTCCTCCTCCTCCGCCTCCGCCTCCGCCTCCGCCTCCTCCTCCTCCTCCTCCTCCTCCTCCTACTCCCCTCCCCCTCCCCTTCCTCCTCTCCTCCTCCTCCTCCTCCTCTTCATCCTTCGCCTCCTTCTCCGCCTCCGCCTCCTCCCTCCTCCATCCTCCTCCTCCTCTTCCTCTCCTCCTCCTCCTCCTCCTCCTCCTCCTCCTCTATTTCTTTTCTTTATAAATGACTTCACCCATTCGCACCCCGAGGCCTGTTTTTAGGGCGGGCCGGGCGTTTCGCCTGAGAACTTCCTCACCAATTATGACCTGAACCTTTAACATTAGCAACAGTTTCTCAAATGGAGGGAGGGTGGTTCTCAAAGTGTGACTCTCGCCTTAGCGCCGCGCACATTCGTTTTCAACATTTGCAAGAGTTTCACGTATTGAGGGCGGGTCGATTTCAACATGCAGATCTCGCCCTAGCGCCGCGCACATTCGTTTTTCGAAATTTGCAGGAGATTCACGGAGTGAGGGCGGGTCGTTTTCAACATGTGGTTCTCGCCTCAGCGCCGCGCACATTCGTTTTTTTTTTTTTTTTTTTTTTTTTTTTTTTTTTTTTTTTTTTTTTTTTTTTTTTTTTTTTTTTTTTTTTTTTTTTTTTTTCCCCCCCCCCCCCCCGAAAGTAGCAAGAGTTTCACGGAGTGAGGGCAGGTCATTTGAAACATGTGGTTCTCGCCTGAGCGCCGCGCACATTCGTTTTTCGAAATTCGCAAGAGTTTCACGGAGTCAGGGCGGGTCGTTTTCAAAATGTGGTTGTCGCCTTAGCGCCGCGCACATTCGTTTTCAGCACTTGCAAGAATTTCACGGATTGCGGGTGGGTCCTTTTCAAGATGTGGCTCTCGCCTTAGCGCCGCGCGCATTCTTGCTAAACAATTGCAAGAGCTTCACGGGTTCCCAGGATCGACGTACAAGAAATGGCGTTTTGGACGGATTAACGATTATGAGGGCGCAACAGTTACGATGTTTCGCAATGTTGAAATAAGTCCCAAGGGTGGCTCTCTGGCACAATCCTGGATCGTCAACAGTCAGGTTTATCCGTGGCGTTGGAATCCCGATAACAACATTTTGGCATGCTTCAGGGTCTTCCAACGGTTCTTCCAGCGAGGCAGGTCTCTCTGTGGAAATACACCGTTTTAGGGGCATATGAAGAGGGAGCTTGGGGAGGGCTTATTCCAACATCGTTGGTGACCTGTGGGTCTGCACTGGTTCTCTTCCTCCTCCTCCGCCTCCTCCTCCTCCTCCTCCTCCCCCTTTGCCTCCGCCTCCGCCTCCGCCTCCTCCTCCTCCTCCTCCTCCTCTTTTGTTGCCACTGCTGCTGCAGCCCCCCCCCTTTCTCTTCCCTTTCTCCCTCTCGCCCTCTCGCCCTTTCTCCCTTTCTCCTGCTGCTGCTGCTGCTGCTCCTTCTCGCGCCTAGAGCTGCGGACGGTTCTGGGTCACGCCCTGGCGCCATCGTGCTGCTGCTGCTGCTGCTCCTCCTTCCTCCCTCCCTCCCTCCCTCCCTCTTCCTCCTGCTTTCCTCCTGGTGATGACTGCACATCTTCTGGCGTGCTTCGTAAGGTCCTCGCCGATATGTCGAGGATCTTCACCCCGTTGGTGTACTCGGCGCACGGGTCTTGCCTCCCGCGGGGGCCCTCCCTCGAGAGAGAGGAGAGGAGGAGGAAGAGGAAGAGGAGGACGAGGAGGAGGAGGGGGAGGAGGAGGAGGAGGAAGAGAAGAAGGAGGATTAGGAGGGTGAGGAGGATGAGGATGCGGATGATGTTGATGATGATGCTGATGAGGATGAGGATGAGGATGATGATGATGAGAAGGAGGAGGAGGACCAATGTAAACCCAAAGGTCACCAACGATGTTGTAATAAACCCTCCCCCAAGCTCCTTCTTCATAGGCCCTTACATCGGTTCATTTTCACAGAGGGACCTGCCTCGTTGAAAGACAACCGTTTGAAGACCCTGAAGCACGCCAAAACATTATTCTCGGTATTCCAACGCCCTTCTCCTCCTCCTCCTCCTCCTCCTCCTCTCCTCCTCCTCCTCCTCCTCCTCCCCCTCCTCCTCATCCTCCTCCAATTTTTGGGGGGAGCGTCCTCCTCCTCCACCGCCTCCTCCTCGTCCTCCTCGTCCTCCTCCTCCTCGTCCTCCTCCTCCTCCTCGTCCTCCTCGTCCTCCTCGTCCTCTCGTCCTCCTCCTCCTCCTTCCCCTCCTCCTCCTGCTCCTCCTCCTCCCTCTCCTCCTCCTTTCTTTCTCCTCCTCCTCCTCCTCTTCCTCCAATTCTTTGGGGAGCGTCGGACCTCCTGGGGGGTGCGGCGGCGCGGGCGCCTCGCGGTGGTCGTCGGCGTCTCCGTGCTGGCCGGCGCCGTCGTGGAGGCCGTGGTGGCCCCGTCGGCGGAGGCGGAGATGCCGGAGTCCGGCCGCCTGCCCCCGCCGTCAGGTCGGGCATTCCTCGACTCGCGGATTTGGGAACGGAGCGGAACGGAACGGAACGCCTGTGCGGGCATGCGCCCGGGCCCCTTAAGGGCGAGGCGGGTGAGGCCATGGCCTCGCATGAGAAGCTGCGCGCGTCGGGGGTCTACTCAGGACAGTGCGTACTTCAGGAGCTGATTTCCCGACAGTCCCCACTCATCCGTTTGGGAGGAAAAGTCAATAACCCACGCGGATCACCTCGGTACCTCGCCGCCCCCCAGGTGGCGGCGAGGTACCGAGGTGATCTGCGTGGGACGTACCTCTGCTGGGCCTCCCAGGAGCCCACGGAAGTGGCGACAGTTGCGCAGATCGCAGACGGCACGAGAGAAGAGGAGAAGGGAACACAGGAGACAGGAGAGAAGGAGAGGAGGAGGAGGAGGAGGAGGAGGAGGAGGAGGAGGAGGAGGAGGAGGAGGAGGAGGAGTAGGAGGAGGAGGAGGAGAGGAGGAGGAGAGGAGGAGGAGGAGGAGGAGGAGGAGGGGAGGAGGAGGAGGAGGAGGAGGGAGGAGGAGGTAGGAGGAGGAGGAGGAGGAGGAGGAGGAGGGAGGAGAGAGGAGGAGGAGGGGAGGAGGAGGAGGAGGAGGAGGAGGAGGAGGAGGAGGAGGAGGAGGAGGAGGAGGAGGAGGAGGAGGAGGAGGAGGAGGAGGAGGAGGTGGAGACCACACTGCTCTATTCAAAACGAGTACCCAACACGACAGGAGGGTTGGGACAAATTGTTAAAACATTACCACAAATGGTCCCAAAATAATCGAAGTCTCGTCCCCCGACTATTTCTTGACTATCTTGGAATGTTCCTCCTGTAGAGGGACAGGCCCGACTGAACCGCATCGCGGGTCGTCTCGGCCGCTCCGGGGCCGCCAGTCGGCCAGGAGATCCTGCGCCTGCTGTTTGGTCGGGCATGTCCTCCTACAGGCGGATTTTGGAAGAAAAAATTACATAGCCAAATCAGAATCAGAAGTGATCAGAAATGGTAGAAAAATCGTCCCCAGACTACTTTACTACCATTCTTGAATATTCCTCCTGTAGAGGAACGTGCCCGACTTGAGCCTGTTGGGTCGAAACGTCCCAGAGATCCGACGCTCCAACAAACATTGGGACGGGCAGTCTGGGCGGTCTTTGGATGTTTTCGGCCTCCAGGGGCCCTCGCCGGGCCTCGGCGCTGTCAAGAAACGGCGTGGGAGGGCAGACCGGCCCCAGGGAAATGGTCCAGACTTCCGGGGCCCAAGCATCTCACACACATTGGAGCAGCCGGATGTCCAGGATGCGCCCGTTTATCGGGCCCCAAGGCCATCAAAATCGTGCGTCGCCGATGCACCGCCGACGTTGCCGATGTGTCGCCGATGCATCGCCCATGCATCGCCGATGCGGCACGATCCTCCGAACCCCCCTTCCATGACATCTCCGACAATCTGTTTTTCCCAACCATCCTGTGGTGTGGGGTCCTCGTTTCGAAGAGACAGCGCCCCGCGTCACTCCTCTCCTCTCCTCTCCTCCTCCTCCCTCTCCTCCCCATCCGCCCCGTCCCTGCGTTTTCACCCACCGAGGACAACGTTTCGTGGCCCCATAGGGAGCTCCACCGAAGGCTCCAGTGGCACAGGCCGCATGCGCCAACGCCACCCAGGACAGCGTTTGGTGGCCCCATAGGGAGCTCCACCGAAGGCTCCAGTGGCACAGGCCGCATGCGTCAAAGCCACCCAGCACAACGATTCGTGGCCCCATAGGGAGCTCCACCGAAGGCTCCAGTGGCACAGGCCGCATGCGTCAACCTCACCCAGGACAGCGTTTGGTGGCCCCATAGGGAGCTCCACTGGAGGTTCCAATTGCACAGGCCGCATGCATCAACGCCGCCCAGGACAGCGTTTCGTGGCCCCATAGGAAGCTCCACCGAAACCGGTACCCACGATGCGGTACTCGCGACTGCATATGGTTGGGTCCTTCGTCAAGCTAATTTTCAATCGGTTAAGTTTTCCTGGATTTTCGGCCTGCAGGGACCGTTACCGAGCCCAGGGAATATGAAACATGGACCTACGGGACGCACAATTGCACGTAGGGAAGCGGTTGGGGGCTCTGGGGCCGCAGATGAAACACATCATGTCAAAGGATGTCTGGAATGCATACTACATGGATACACTTTGGGCGCGAATTAATGGGAGGGCGATAAATGGGTGGAAGGAAGGTACTGTTGCGGCCCCTAACGTGCCCCTTCTGGGCCCTTAAACCCCTAAAGGGGCCCTAAAGGGCCCCTTTTCTGCAGCCCTCGCTGCCTCCTCATTCATCGCTCCCCATTGCGCGTCCTCCGAACGCTTTGTCGCTGCCACTTGCCGGGCGTGGTGTCGCCGCACCCTCATCACATCCTCGGCAGGCCACTGCTTTTGCATGACCACTGCATTTGCATGCTCGCCCACGCTCAAATATGCCGCCCCCTGGCCTGGACTCGATCGGATTCGTGATGCGGTGGGCATTGGGCTACACGCAAGAGTGACCCTAGGCAAGAGTGACCTTCGTGCGCGGACTGAGGGGGCGCAAGGTGGCCAAATCCAAGCATGCAAGCAGCCACTATCGCATGGCGCTCAGCGATCGGGGGGACCCTAATGAACCCGCACCAAAGGTCACTCCAGCGAAGGGTCACTGGGTGATAGCCAGCGAAGCGGTCCCTCGGTGAAAGCATGGTCCGGTCCTCCAAGCAAGCATTCACGAAACCTCTGCTGCACACCAGCCCCTACGTTAGGTCACGAGTCAGGTGCACCCGTTCATCCAACATAGCTGAGCCTGAGGGTAACGAGGCTCACCCATGCCCTAATAGTCCCACAGTAGAAGCAATCCTCCCTTCTTCTTCCTCCATATCCCTGCCCCACCCCCTCCTTCTCCTCCTTTTCCCCTCCTCCATCCTCATCCCTCCTCCTCCTCCTCCTCCTTCCCCTTCTCCTCCTCTCCTCCTCCTCCTCCTCTTCCTCCTCCTCCGCCTCCTTCTGCTTATCCCCCTTCTCCTTCTCCGCTGCCCCTCGTCCTCATCCTCTTCGTGGAAAGAAAACGGAACGGGGGGAGGGACAGGATAACGAGGGGAATGAGGAGGACGAGGAAGGAGTGAAGGAGGAGGTGGAGGGCGAAGAAGCGGATAACGACGATGCGGACCAGCAGGGAGGAGGAGGAGGAGGAGGAGGAGCAGGGGAAGGAGGAGATGGAGGAGGAGGAGGAGGAGGAGGAGGAGGAGGAGGAGGAGGAGGAGGAGAAGGATGATGAGGAGGTGGAGGAGGAGGAGGAGGAGGAGAAAGAAGAAAGAGGAGGAGGAGGAGGAGGAGGAGGAGGAGGAGGAGGAGGAGGAGGAGGAGGAGGAGGAGGAGGAGGAGGAGGAGGAGAGGAGGAGGAGGAGGAGGAGGAGGAGGAGGAGGAGGAGGAGGAGGAGGAGGAGGAGGAGGAGGAGGAGGCGAGGAGGAGGAGGAGGAGGAGGAGGAGGAGGAGGAGGGAGGAGGCTGAGGCCGAAGATGCGGAGTAACCAGAAGAGTCGGAGGACTAGGCGGATGAGGAGGAAGGATGGGAGAAAGAAGCGGCGGCGGAGGAGGATGAGGACGATGATAGGCGGAAAGTGAGGATGACGAATGCCCATCGGGACTCTGCAGGTGACTAAGCGGTGGGGGACTCTAGGGTCCTCCGTGCAACCGGATGATCGGGCCTGCTTGCAGCGGCGGCGGCGTCGGCACTGGATCGGGCCCTGCATCCTTCCCTCCGGGCGAGAGCCTCTTGCACTTCCTTGGGCATACTTTTGGTGTAGGGCCACTTACCCAAACTCAGACTGCCCCAATTCTACTCACCCTTCGCAATTTCAGGGGGACGCTCGAAAACCAAGAACGCAACTACGAGACTAGCATAGCAGTCGCACGTCATGCGCACATGGAATTCATACAATCTACATCGATGAGCGAGCGCGAAAAGTCGAGTTCCCCCCCCACCCTAACCCGCCCCGGCCTACACTATTACCAACGCCCGCGGCGCCGATAGCTGCAAACTGCTTCGGGGCACACGGCGTACAGTCAAAATCTGCTAGGGCCCCTGACAGGACAGACTGCTCACAAACCTTGCAGTTCCAACGGGATCCGACGAATTCCAGGATGTGGGGGGAGGCCGCTACGAGCCTCGCTTACTTGCTCAGAACCTGCTTAGCTTTTGGCTCAGGCCCGCGTCGATAAGGTCAGCCTCCATACAATCTAGGTGAACACGCGCAGGGCGCTTACGAACCATGTGTGCCGTAACGTCGACCATGGGCACTTCATTCTTCAGGGAGGCACTCGCTCACGCTCTGGCTGCATCGCGGCTCGCGAACTCATCGGCACACATGCTACCTGCTACAAGGGGAAACTGTTACTCAGACACGCAGCTCAATCTGATCCTCGCTGCGATCGCGCACAAATCCTTGCATCGGCCACCACAGATCTGCATTTTTGCCTGACGGGCGCAGCTGGTGCCTCTCGCGCCATCCGTGCACCAGCGGCACGAGGTTTGTGTGGTACCTCAGGTTCCCGCGGGTACGCTTCGGCGTGGCGATGAAAGCCTGGGGCCCAGCGCGTGGGACGGTCTGTTTGGGCTCAGTAAGCCGTGCAGCGATGCCAGCGGCCACGCGCATCTCGCCAGGCACATCCAGCGACCCCTTCGTGATCACCGTGCCGACTCCGCAGCGCCTCTGGCGCGTGTCGTCGCCGTGCACGCCCCCCCGAACAATCGCCGAATGCATCCAGGTAGCCGTCCAGGCCGCGGCGCTGCTCCGCCGCCGCGCCCCAGTCGCCCGCCCCAATCTCGATCTCAGTGGCACCTTCGGGGTGCGTGCATCTCGTCCACGCAGCTGGAGGAAGGCCCGGCAGCCAGAGACAAGGCACTACAACAGCACCATCCATCGCCTTGTCCAGCATCTTCCGCGTGCTCTCGTAGTCCTCATGGCCCACGTTGCGCGGGCGCTGCCAGACTCGGCATTGTGACGTCTCCTCGGCGAGCCGGCGTCGGGGGCGGAGGGTGGCCGCGTCAAAGACGGCCGACTTCCGCCTCGCTCGCGTCCAGGATGCGCCTTCCATCGCCTGCAGCTGCATCGCTCAGGTGCCGTACTCGCCGTCGCGCTGGAGCCTGGCCAGGTGCCCCCTGGCCGGGTGCAGGTCGGCGCCCTCGTCGCGCCCGTCTCCGGCATCGTGCCGAAGCGCCTTCGCCCGCCAGCTCCTCTTGAGGCTGTGTCGATGAGGAGCTCGGCGTCGTCGATGTCGGTCACCTCGTTCATCTGCCGCGTCTCCTCGATATTAGAAAGCCAAGTCATGGTCATCTGGAGGTCCCGACCAGCTGTCGTCAGCGTGCAGATCGCCGCCGAGATAACACCTCGAACCCTGGCTCGCCTCTTGGCCTGGGAAAATGCATTCATGTTCTGGTGCAGGTTGCGCCAAGTTCTTCGGGCACGGGGCCGATGCTCAGGGTGGCGCCTCCAGAACTGCAACCACTCCGCCACTTGCTGCCGCGGCAGCGCCAACCCTGGGTCGTCCTCGCCCTGGGTCAGCATGACCGTCGACGCCACTCCAAGCACTTGATGTCCGTGGACCAGTGCCGGCTGCGCGACAGTCATGTCCAGCAATTTCGAATACTTGCCAGGGCGCGTCTGCCTTCTCATGCGGTGGATGCCTCGCGATCGCTGCGTGACCTTCTTGGTGTGCTGCTCGTGGGGCCGGGGCCCACCGCCGTGGAGCCGTAATCTGGCCGCCGGGGCCTCTCGGGGCACCTGCTGGGCAGCGTCGATGTCCGAGGCCGCGGAGGCGGGCTTCTCCGACATGGTGAGGCGCGCCTCCTCGCAGGATCCCGCAAACTGCCGCGAGGCTCCAACCATTCGCACTACTGCCACCACCTCTGCCCCCCTCCGTTCGGGAGATCGTGGAACCCGCGAGCATCTGGGGGCCTGCCGTCGGCGAGCCCGCGCCGATGCGCTGCAGCAGCGGGTGCCGCCCTCGCCCCGTGGTGGCGCCCCGCCAGGGTGGGCCGCGCTGCCGAGATGGCGCCGCTGGTCCACCCGTGGCGTCGGAGCTTCCTGGGTGCCCATTAGGCCCGCGCCTCCAGCGACATGGCCGCCGCTGCTCCATCGCCTCCGGCAGCATAATCAGGTCAACGCCGTCGCAGAACGACTCCAGATCTATCAGCGCCTCAATGACGCAGACGCTCATGGTCACCGCGCTCGTCCAGTCCTGGGCGGCGCGACGCTGGTCTGAGAGCGCTGCTGACTGGGTCGCCGCGTCGCAGTGCCGCCCCGTCGCGCCCGATCAGGTGTCGGTGGTGATGACGCGTGAACAGAGCCAGCGCTTCACGGGGAACGGCAGCGGCCCGAAGGTCCGACGGCCGCCCCTGCCCATAAGCGGCAAGATGGTGGTGGGGACCTGTCCTGGCCGCGTGAACTCCTCCTTGGCCTGCTGCAAGAAGTCCGCCGGCTGCTGCTCCGACTCATCGGGGGGCCTGGCCACATCAGAGCTCCTCGACGCATCGTCGCCCGTCGCCTTCCCAGGTGAAAGGCCGGTGAAAACTGGGCTCGCTTGCTGCGGGGTGAGCGGGGGCAATCCTTCCCTCTTGGCGCGCTGGGCTGTGGGCGCCAGTCGCTGCTGGGCCTCCTCTCGTCGACGCTGTTCGACAGCCAGACTGTCGTCCAGTGCATCCCGCTCAACTATGCCTGCTTCATAGGGCCCCCCGTGGATTCGCCGAGCTCCCGAGTCAGATGCGCGGGGTCCTCGCTTTCCACATGTCTGTGTGCGCGCGCGGGGAGCGATCTCCATGATGGTCTGGCCCGCCTCGCGCGCTGTCGCCCAGCCTCCGCCTGGGCAAGACCTGCGGCTCTGGTTGCCAAACGCGGAGCCCGCTCTCTGGATGCGTTGAGCTCCTCGTCCTCAGCTTGGCCGAGCCCCGCTATCAGTGGCTTCCGCTCAGCCGCCTCCTCGGGCCCCCTCTGCTCGCCGAAGTACCCTAGACCTTCATCTGGACCTTGACCTCGGCACGAACCCACCTCCTGAATCTTCTCGCAGACGGACTCCGAGCTGCGACGTCGCTGGCGCAGGTCTGAGCCATCGCGCGACAGCGCGGGCGCCCGAGCAGCCGGTGTCGCCGCGATCGCCCTCCGCTCCGGCGCTGGGTCGGTATGTGAGATCTGCGGGCCACAGGCTTGCAAAGGGCCTTTGCCAAAGCGCAAAGGCGATAACATTCTGGAGTCATTGAACACCTGAAGGCTTGCGGGTTGCCTCGAAAACCTCCTTCGACGTTGCGAGCGAATGGCCAAACACGTATGTTCGGCTCGGTCTCGCCACTCATTTGGCCAAACAGGCAGCAACACATTGAATACTCTCGTCGGGATAGCTGGCCCCAATTGCTGAAGCCATCGGGTGCGACGCACTCGCAGCTCGAGCTGCGTCGCAATTCGACCAAGGCGTGCCCATATCTGCTGGGAAAAGGGGGGCGAGTAGCAATTTAAAATTGCGTCCCCCTTCAAAACCACCTCGCTCCAATGGAAAAGTAATTTGTCAATCTCTTGAAAATCGTTGCCTGTAAGAATGCGCGCCTCAAGTCCACTGTCGTCAGCAGACTGAATGCGCGCCTGAAAAAAGGAGGCAAGCAGGATCCCGAGGAGCTCGCCCTACATGCCAGAGGCGCCCCATCGAGCACCAAGTCTTGCGAGTACTTTTCTGGATGTGCTGGCGCGGTTGAGTGGTCGTGTCGTTGCCATGGCACGTAGCATGAGCAGCAACCCGACCAGGAACAAAATATTCAAGATGCGAGAACTGGCGAGATTGCTGGTGAGCTCTTCCTCCGATGAAGGGCGGTGATCTGCTTTCCTGCATTAGAAGCTTCTCCAACGCGCCGAAGGCGCCCTGCAATATTAGTAATGGCCTCTACAACCCTGCGCACAAGCTGGACGACAGTCTGGCCTGTGACCTTGTGTGCTGTGTCGTCTGGAAACACCATCGTGGCAATCTTTATACTGGGGGCCTCTATCACTTTGGTAGATGATGATGCTGATGCTGATGATGATGAGGACAATGATGATGATCATGCTGATGCTGCTGCTGCTGATGATGTTGCTGGGGAGAAAAAAGGGGGGGAGGAGGGGAAGGAGGAGGATGAGGATGAGGAGGGGAAGGAGCAGGAGGAGGACCAGTATAAACCCAACATCCATCAACGATGTTGGAATACACCCTCCCTCCAAACTCCCTCTTCTAGGCCCCTATAACAATTCATTTTCACTGCGGGCATAGCCTCGTTTGATGATGATGATGATGATGATGATGATGATGATGATGATGATGATGATGATAATGACGACGACGAGGAGGATGATGATTATGTAATGATGATGGACAAAAAAAGGAAGGAGGAGGAGGAGAGGAGGAGGAGGAGGAGGAGGAGGAGGAGGAGGAGAGAGAGGAGGAGAGGAGGAGGAGGAGGAGGAGGAGGAGGAGGAGGAGGAGGAGGAGGAGGAGGAGGAAGAGGAGGGGGAGGAGGAGGAGGAGGAGGAGGAGGAGGAGGAGGAGGAGGAGGAGGAGGGGAAGGCATACGAGGGGCAGCAAGATCCCCTCCTGGTACCCCAGCCGAGTCTGGGCGCGAACAGCGAGCCCGCCAGGGCTACCAGCAGCAGTCCCGCGGTGGCGATCGCGACGGCCGCCCATCTCCTGAGATCCCCCCGTCAAAGAGAACGGGGTGGAGGGCGGAGGATGCTCTCCGTCTCGTTCTTCTCCGCCTCCTGCCCCCCTGTCCTCTTTTCGCCTTCCCCTCCTCCCTTTCGCCCCTCCGCTCCTCCTTCTCCTCCTCCTCCTCCTTCACCTGGCGCATCATCGGCGGCGAGCCAATTTCCGACCGTGTACCGCAGGAAGGCCACCTCACCTGAAAACGAACCGTCCTGACGACGCCGGTGCGCTGGGCGGGCGCCAGGGGCAATGGAACAGAGCACTGATTCGAATCACCCTTTCGCTCATCCTCCTCTTCCTTCTCCTCCTCGCCCTTGCTCCTCCTCGCACTCGCTCCCCTCTCTTTTCGTCTCCCCCTTCACCTCCCACCGCGCCCCTGTCTGGACATCACATCCTTCCCATCACCCCGCCCCGGTCTTCCTCCGTCCTTTTCCCTCTCCCACCATTCCCCCCCCCTTTCTGCTGCTGCTGCTGCTGCTGCTGCTGCTCCTCGTCCCCACTCCTTTTCCGCCCTTTTTCCGGGAGTAGTACGCAGTGGGAGGGAGCAGGGGGCAGGAGGGGGACGATGACGGGGAAGAGACGATGGTAGTGATGGTGATGACTGTGCACCATGGTGTGGTCAGCTCGGGGCCCCATCCGACGGGAGCCGCACGACCGCCATTGCAGCGGGACTCTGGCAAGGGAACTGCTGAGGAGGAGAAGGAGGAGGAGGAGGAGACGGAGGAGGAGGAGGAAGGAGGAGGAGGAGGAGGGAGGACGAGGAGGAGGTGGAGGAGGAGGAGGAGGAGGAGGAGGAGGAGGAGGAGGAGGGAGGAGGAGGAGGAGGTCGAAGGGAGGAGGAGGAGGAGGAGGAGGAGGAGGAGGCGAAAAGCGTGAGCGACGAAACGGGGCGGGTCCTGCGCGAGATGGCGCAGCGGCCCGGCGCAGCTGCCTGCGCGAGCCGCCAGCTCGGCACGCCACATTGGGAGCGAGGGCGCCTGCGCGTGTCCTTACGCGTTACGCGGGCCACCTGCGCGCGAGTGTCGGCGAAGACGGCCCCGATGTCCTCCGTCGCCCACCCGAAAACGGCGCCCCGCCCCAGGAGGGGATGCTGGCCCAGCTGGCGATAAATGCAGGCACGCCGCCCCGAGGGGCGACGCGTTGCGCATATCGTCACGGGTTCGTTCGCCCAGAGATCCTGGAGGCGTGCGAGCGTAGCTCTCCGATCGAAAATCACACCGTCGGAGAACTGCGAACCAGTATCCAGACTTCAGCGTCGATAAAGCTTCTCGCGTCTAATTATGTTGCACTGACGCGTGTTGCTAGGTGGCCGTGAGTCCCGTGTCGCAGTTTGGGCTCTGAGCTGTGCGTGGGACGGAGGACGCCCTCATGCTCGTCTGGCGCATGATTGACGCAACTCAGACCAACAAACACGGTGGCCACATCTTGATAGTGCTGGAGTGGGCGAAAGCGTTCGACAGACTCAAACCAGCAATTATGTGCGATGCTCTGCGACGATTTGGGCTTCCCCCGAACATTGTGAACATGATTGAAGCTAGCTACTCCGAGCGTTGCTTTACGATCGCGGGCCACACCGGAAAATCAACAGAAAGACAGCAAATGGCAGGCATCGCTCAAGGATGCCCTCTTTCCCCATACCTGTTCATTGATGTGCAAACGGTAATGTTGTACGACGCTTTTGCCGCGGCCTACTTCGAGGCTGAGCCCGCTTAGATGGTGACGCGCGACACCCTGTATGCAGATGGCAGACTACTGGCCTCGCAGAGCAAGACGAATGCTCAAAACATGCTCAACGCCATTGCCGGAGACGGTCCGTGTATGTGGTCTCGAGCCGAATCGGGGCAACATATTCCAAATTCATATATTCACCAATGCCGCGGGTGTTCGGCCTGATGGCGGTCCAATCAAGACTGTCTCGAAAGCGGCTTACTTGAGAGTTGCAAGGCGTATTCCACCAATTGGCAGGCTTTCCCTCCGAGGAGGAGGTCCGAAGAGGGCGAGAAAGATGCCTCGAACGAGCCAGAGCCACGAAACGAGCGGAGGACGGAAGGGAAGGGTAATCGTACTGCGGGATCGTTGGAGTGATCCCCTTCGCCACTTCCCCCGCTGAGATTAAGACTCGCTGAATGGGAGAAGCTAGCCTGGCACTACTTGTGAGCAGAGAGGAGGACCGAATTGCTGAACGGGCTGACGTGCTACTGTGCTGCTGCAGACCAGCGCAGATGAGCAACTGATCAATTCTGCTCCATTTTCTACTCGAGCTTGCGAGACTGCCTGGGCAGTTGCTGCTGCTGCTGCTGCTTTCAATGGGTCGCTCACCGGGGGTCTCGTTACCTGCCCCAGCCGATTTGCTACTGCCTGTTCCCCGCCTCCAGGAGGCGAACGATCTCGCACTCCAGCGGGACACTCGGCGCGCTCCGGGCCAACACAGTGCCAACCGAGAAGACCATCAAGTTTCAGAGGCCTCCCAGACGGGGTCGGAGCAGACAGGGTCGGGGCATCGTGCTGCATCGCCGATGCACTGACAGTGCATCGAACCGCATCGATGGGGGAATATGCTGGGCCTGACAGGTGCAGAATTACGCCCGCGACGCCCTGGAGAGACAGCCGAACCCTTCTGACATCGACGGGGATGTCGAGTAGGAGATCGACTACATCATTGATTTACCCTAACATTGATTTTTGGGTTGGGTCTCGAATGTACGACGCATGCGTCAGAATGCTCGCAAATAGTATAGGCGAAAACTCTGCGTATGTTTCGTGGACTCGCCAAACCGACAACTTTCGGAGTGCGTTCGTTCTGCAGCTTTCGGCGATGCGTCAGGTGGTGCTGGCCGTCGCGCAGTCGCCCAGACGCTCTTTCCGCCACAATTCGGAGCACGCGTGATCGACCCCCTCGCCGCGAGGCGGAGTTGCGGCGCTGGAGTGAACCAATCGCCTCTCGCTGGGCGCTTGCATCTACACCACTGGCTGCGAAGGGGTCAGCCGTGAATGGTGGGAGGCAGACGAGCGCAGAATCGAATCGATCATTCGAATCGGCGATCGAAATTAATCGGATCGGCGGAAATCGACAGACAAGTCGGGAGGAGTCGAATCGGCGGAAATCGGCACGCTAAAAGGCCTCCGTGGAGAAATCGGAGCCCAAATCGGAAGCCGAAATTGAATCGAATCGGAATCGGAAACCGTTGAGATCGAATCGAATCGAACCGGAGAAGTCGAAATGAGCCCTGGAGAGGGGCTCTCGCCACGACCAGCGGGAGTCTTTGCGTCATTGGGCGGGCCGTGGGCGAGCCCTTGGTGTCGGCAGAGACGCCTCGCCGACCGACGCCGTCGTGCCACAGGCGCTGCCCCACCTCTCAAGAAGCAGGTGACCGTTGGGAGATCAAGAGGCACCGACACCGCCACTCCCTGTACCTCTGCAGGGGTGCGCTCTGACCAGAACTTCTAAGAAGCCTCCTGCACAGGGCGGGGCCTGAACGTTGTTTTTCATGTTGTTCCCAACCATCCTGTGTTGGGTCCTCGTTTTGAAGAGACGGTGCCCCGCGTTCCTCTCCGCTACTCCTCGTCCTCCCCTCCGCATGCATCCTGCACACCAAATACAGCGTTTCGTGGCCCCATACGGAGCTCCACCGACGGCCCCAGTGGGACCGTCCGCATGCGTCCCGAACACCCAATTTGGTATTTTCGCTCACCCAGTACAGCGTTTCGTGGCCCCATAGGGAGCTCCACCAAAACCCCCAATGGGACCGTCCGCATGCGTCCCGCAAACTAATGCCACCAACCCTTTAGGGCGTAGGTGGTTTAGGGTGTTTCCTCTTCCGCTCCCTTCTTCCCCTGCGGGGAGGGGTTTATCACTGCTTCCTATGAATAGGCATCCCCTCCCCCAGGCGACTGGTAGCCAACCAGGAACCATGAGGCCCCCCCCCAACATCTCTTTGTAAAAACTATACAAACACACTCTGCCTCCAAACTCGCAGCATGCGCAGCTAATTAAATGTGGCCTGCCCCCACCATCCCTGTCAACGAACAATAAAAATACACTTGGCGGCGGCGGCGGCGGCTGCAGCGGCGGTGGCGGCGGCGGCGGCGGGGGCGGCGGCGGCGGCGGCGGCGGCTGCAACGGCGGCGGCGGTGGCGGCGGCGGTGGCGGTGGCGGCAACGGCTGCGACGGCAGCGGCTGCGGAGATTTGGCAGCGGGGGCGGCGGCGGCGGCGGATTGGCCCCCAGGAGCTGCCCATCCAACGACGACTGCTGACTATGCTGAAGCTCGGGCCAAACTCGGGTGCTACATATGTGTTGGGAGGGCGGGTGGGAGTGAGCGAGGCGGCTTGCGGGCGGGGAGGGAGTCTCGACCCCTCCCTCTACCCCCTCCCCTGGACCTGGACGGGGCGTTTCGCGAGCGGTCGGAGCGTCCAACATTGCCTCGGCGAGGAAACCAAAATCATTGGTTTTACGAAAAGGCTCTGGTCCCATGTTGGCCTGATGGGAGGGCAGCGCTAATTGAAACTCCCCTTTCTTTGATCGATCTCCTCCGAGATGGCCCCACGAACGCTCCCAAGGCTCCCAAAAGGTGCCCCAAGAGGGCCCCAAGAGGTGGCCAGGTGGCCCCAAAAGGCCCCCAAAAGGCCCCCACGATGCCCCCAAAAATCCCAAGACGACCCCCAGAGGCACCCAAAACACTCCAAGATGCCTCGGCGACAATGCCCAAATCATTAATTTCCACAGAGTTATGGCAACATTTTGGGGCCTCCTGGAGGGGGGGCGCGGCTTAAGATGACTCCTGGAGTGCCTGTGAAAACCCAGAATGGCCTCCAAGATGGCTCACGGTATCCCAAGATGCCTCAATATGGCTCCCACGATGCTCCAAGATGCCCCAAGACCGCTCCGAGACGGCGCCAAGTGGCCAGAGAGCTCCCCCAGGAGGCCCCGGAGAGGCCCAAATCCTTCCAACACCTTAGGTAAATCATTTTTTGTGTTATATATATATATATATATATATATAATATATATATATATATATATATATATATATATATATGTATATGCCCATCCGAAGCCTCAAGATGGTTCCGAAATGGCCCAAAAAGGCTCCAAGAACGCTCCCAAGGCCCCCAAAAACGCTTCAAGAGGGCCCCAAGAAACGCCCAGGAGGCCCCAAGAGGCCCCAACAGGCGCCCAAGAGGTTCCCAAGAGACGCCCCAAGGAACTCTCCGAGGCACCCGAGACGCTGTCAGAGGCGCCCGGGAGCGCCACGAGGCCCCCAAGACGCTCCAAAAGACCTCCACAGGGGAAACCTTCCTGTGTGTGCTGCCCACTTCCCTGATGGAGGCAATTCCTCTGGGCATCGTTTCTGGATGGGCTGGTGGGGTTACTTTTCTGTTTGCGAACGCGCAGGAATGCCAGGCGCCGTCAAGAAACGCGGGTAACGAGCAGCGGGCAACATTCCGCACAAGAGCGCACCGGAGCGAACTACGCTGCGGCTCAAGAGACGCGGTGGATCTAGCGGTAACGCTGGTCGAAATCCTTGAAGTCCACGTGCGCGAAGACGACGCTCGGGCGTGCAAGCGCTCAACGGAAGAGTTCCGGATTGCCAAGAGGCGGAGCGTGCCAGCGGCGGAAGCTGGCGGGGTTGCTTTTTGGTCTGCGGGCTCGCGAAGCAAGTCGAAAGCCGTCCGATCACTAGCCGGGCCGCGACTAGGCAGCAAGACAAGAGAGGGGCAAGCGAAGCGAGCGCGCGGGCAACCACTCAGAAGGAACACCAGGAACGGCACTCCCACCCCGGTGGCGTGGAAATCCTGGTGGCGACCACCAAGCAAGCGCAGCCAAAATGGCGCGGCTGCGCGACCATGAACACGCAGAGGTCGATCACCCAGTGTGAGCCGGCATAGGGCCCGACAAAAACGTTCAAGTCCGACAGGCACTCCAGGGCAACATCCGTGCCGTAGGTGACACAACAGCATCGTGTCGGCGCCGGAATGACGAGGGGGCAGCCTCGTCACAGGCAGGACTGCAAACGGCAGATCATGTACACCCGGTGGCACAGGTCGAAAACGAAGTCCATGTAGGAGAAAGCAGCCGACGGGCGCCCAGAGCCACACTTGCAGAAATCTTTGCACCGAAGAGGACGGCACCGTAGCGAGACCCCACGGAACCCAAACGGTCACCAGTGGAGGCTGACACCAAGCAGGAGCAGGCCAGGGGCCACCTGGCCGCCCATCCCCAGTGTGGTCATGCATGGAATCCGAAGCGAGACCTCATGGAACCCACCCGGCCACCAGTGGAGGCCGACACCAGACAGGAGCAGGTCAGGGGCCACCTGACCGTCCGTTCCCAATGTGAACCTTGCATGGAATTCAGGCTGTCAGAGCACCACCGGACAGCAATATTGGCGGCGACCCCACCCGCGTGGGATAAACCCGGTGAAACGAGGGAGAGGAGGGAAAGTGCACGCCAGGCACGGTAGGCAACCCGTTGTGGCAGCTAACCGCTGCGGCAATAGGAAGCAGGAGACACGAGCATCGGAGCCCACTGAACCCTTTCGGCCATCAGCAGGGGGGGGGGATGGCGCCGGCTTAAGGCAGGCAGTAGGCACCGCACCACCCAGTCCCGGTGTAATGCATGATCCCAGCGCCGCACCAGTCAGTCTAGAATTTGGCATTGTCACCCACCCAGTACAGCGTTTCGTGGCCCCACAGGGAGCTCCACCGAAGCCCCCAGTGGGACCGTCCGCATGCGTCCCGGAAACCCAATTTGGCGTGGCCCCATAGGGAGCTCCAGCGAAAACCCCAGGGCCACCGTCCGCATGCGTCCCGAAACATCCAATTTGGCATTTTCGCCCACCCATTACAGCGTTTCGTGGCCCCATAGGGTGCCCCACCGAAGGCACCAGTGGGACCGCCTGCATGCGTCCCACACACCCAATTTGGTATTCTAACCCAGTGCAGCGTTTCGTGGCCCTATTGGGAGCTCCACCGACGGCTTCAGTGCTACTGCCCGCATGCGATCCCCCCCACCCAGTGCAACGTGGCCCCTATACGGAGCTTCACCGAAGAAGATATTCACAGTTGCGGTACCCACAACTGCATACATATGGCTGGGTCCTTCACCAGGATAACCTTAGTTTTGTTATTTGTTTTGCTCTACCCTCCCTGCCAAAACGAAAAACAAAGCACTGCCGGAGTTCAGCAAAACAGCGTTTAGGTCCAGCCCTGCTCCTACATGGGGTAGGAGCAGATGGCGTCGGGGCATCGTGCCGCATCGCCGATGCATTGGCAATGCATGGGCGGCGTCGGCGATGCATCGGCGCCGTCGGCGCGGAGAAAATCGGGCTGCACAACGAGCCGCATCGCCGATGCATCGGCGATGTGACGCGATGCTCCGATCCCATCTGCTGGGACTCAACTTGGAAAACCTAGAACGTCGTCATATGGAACGCACGGATGTCCTGTGGGCCCTCGAGATCCACTGGGTCGTTGATCGCAGGCGTGTGCTCCCTGACCCTCGAACTCCTCGTGGACCCTCGCGCGGAGCGTGCGAACTGCCGACGCCCCCCGCTGCCTCAGTGATACTCGAAGCGGCGCTCACGTGGCCTCCGCCGTGCGAGGCGCCCCCACGTGACAGTTGTTGCTGAGTGCGATGGCGAGTGCGCGAAAGCGGGCTGCTCCTTCAACTCCCTGTGGAGGGAGCTCCTCGTCGGTCTGCGCCGTGCGAGGCGCCCCCACGTGACCGTTGTTGCTGAGTGCGGTGGTGAGTGCGCGAGAGCGGGCTGCTCCTTCAGCTTCCTGCGGAGGGAGCTCCTCGTCGGCCTGCGCCGTGCGAGGCCCCCCCCCCCCCGTGGCCATCGATGGCGAAAGCACGGGGATGCGTGCGCCAGAGCGGGCTGCCCCGCGGCCAGTGCGGGTGCTCGGCGCTCGGGCATCCATGACAGCCACGACGATGCTGGCAGTGACGGTGAGGAGGGAGGAGGGAGGAGGGAGGAGGGAGGAGGGAGGAGGAGGAGGGGAGGAGGAGGAGGGAGGAGGAGGAGGGAGGAGGAGGAGGAGGAGGAGGAGGAGGAAGAGAGGAGGAGGAGGAGGAGGAGGGAGAGGAGGAGGAGGAGGAGGAGGAGGAGGAGGAGGAGGAGGAGGAGGGAGGAGGAGGAGGAGAGGGAGGAGGAGGAGGAGGAGGAGCGGAGTACGGAGGCGGCGGAGGCGGAGGAGGAGGAGGGGGAGGAGGGAGGACGGGGAGGCGGAGAGGAGGGTGAGGAGGAGGAGGAGGAGGAGGAGGAGGACGGAGGAGGAGGAAAAGAGGAGGAGGAGGAGGAGGAGACAGAGGAGGAGGAGGAGGAGGAGGAGGAGTGAGGAGGAGGAGGCGGAGGAGGAGGGAGGAGGAGGGAGGAGGAGGAGGAGGAGGAGGAAGGTGGGAATGCGGGGAATGCGGATCCATACCTGGAACACCTTAGGGTCCACCCGCGGTCCTTCTGGAGCAGCACCGCCGCGCCTCGGGGGCGGGCGCGGGCAGCGCCTCCCGCGGTGGGGGTGATGGGGGGTGGAGTGGCGGGAAGGAGGAGCATCACGCAACAACCTCCCTCCTCCTCCTCCTCCTCCTCCTCCTCCTCCTCATCCTCCCTGCTCTTGCTCCTCGCTTTCCTCCTCCTTCCTCCACCTCCTCCTCCTTCCTCCTCTCCTCTCTCCTTGCTCCTCCTCCTCTTTTCTCCTCCTCCCCCTTCCCCCTCCCATGCTTCCGCCTTCCTTTCCTCCTCCTCCTCCTCCTCCTCCTCCTTCCCCGCTTGGAGGGGCACGATGGGGAAAGGAGGGATGGCCGACGGAGCTCAGGTAGATGGGATCCTGACTCTTGCAACTTTGTGCCCTGGAGGGCAGAATCTCCAATGCTCGAGTGAGGGAGAGGGACATTACGGGGGAGGATAGACGTGGGAGGGAGACGAGGAGGGCGGGGGGCAGGAGGAATAGGGGGAGGGGGGGAGACGGGGACGAAAAGGAGGAGTTGAGGGCGACGATGGTAATGATGAAGAAGAGGACAAACGAGGAAGCGGGAGGGGAAAACCAGGAAGGAGGGAAATGATGAGGAACACGGTCTTGATGAGGAGGGTGAGGAGGGAGGCGAACGAGGATGGACAAGAGGTAAAACAGTGAGGGGAAAGGAGGAACCCCACCTCCTCCTCCTCCTACTCCTCGTCGTCCTCCTCCTCTTCTCCTCCTCCTCCTCCTATCCTTCGTGCCTCCAGCTGGGTGACCTTGTTGGCGGGTGCCACGGTCTCGACGATGCCGTAGTACCCCTTGCCCTTGCGTGCGAAGGAGGGGGAGGAGCATGCGGAACAGGAGCAGAGGGAGGATGAGGATCATGAGAGGGAGGGTCGCAGGGGGTAGGAGGGATGAGGGACACATATGACAGGGACGATGCGGGAGGAAGGGGGCGAACGAGTGAGGATGATGAGGGAGGGGGATGAGGAACATCTGAAAAAGGAAAGGATCGAGTAGGGGATCGTCTACAGAATTGGTTTCCCACGCATCATTTCCTTGCCGATTCTTACGTGCAATTTTCGTAGATCTACGAACATTAAACGCCTTCTCGTGGATTCGACGAGAAGATCAACTTTGAGGTACATCAAGTAGGGGATCATCTACATACTTGGTTTACCCACACACTATTTCCTTGCCGATTCTTACGTATAAGTCTCGCAGATCCACGAACAGTGCACGCCTTCTTCTGGATCCGACGAGAAGATCAACTTTGAGGTACATCAAGCCTGTAGACAATCCCCTGCTCGAAAAGAGGAGGGGGAGGAGGGGGGATCGGGCAAGATGCCCCGCCCCCCGCCAGGGAGGACGCAGAGGCCATGCGCCTACCGCGGGGAAGGGAGGCAGAGAGGGCGGGGGGGCGGGGAAGGAGGGGGGTACGTAAGAAGGGATAGAAGGAGGGATAGGGGGAGGGGGAGGGGGAGGGGGAGGGGGAGGAGGAGGAGGAGGAGGAGGAGGAGGAGGAGGAGGAGGAGGAGGAATACGATGATGATGATGATGATGATGATGAGATGATGATGATGATGATGATGATGATGTGATGATGACGCTGATGCTGATGATGATGATGTTGATGATGTTGATGATGATGAGAGGAGGAAAAGGGCGGAGGAGGAGGGGGGAGGGAGGGAGAAAGAAGAAAATGCAGGCAGGCATGGGGAGGGAGGGAGGGAGGGTGGCGACGGAGGGAGGAAGCTGAGAGGAGGAGGAGGAGGAGGAGGAGGAGAGGAGGAGGAGGAAGGGGGGATAAGGAGGGGGATAAGGAAGGGCAGGGGCACGAGGAAGAACGCCACTCTGCACGAATGAAGGTCTTTCAGCTGTGCTGAACAACCTTGGTGGTCGACGCCAGCGCCTGGCCCGGCTGTCCCTGCCCCCCCCCTGACACAGTCGAGACGGAACCCCAGTGGGACGCGGGGGGATGGCGGCAGAAGACGAGATCGCACTCTGAAGCATGTGCACAGGAAACCGCTGATGGCTACTTCAGAAGCCGAATGTTTTCCACGTAACTCGAACCAAGGTGGTGGTGAAGAGCATCCAACGGAAGTCTACCAGCAAGTGCAAGAAGAAATTGAAAGGGTCGTCCTGGACAGCAGAAACTATCGGACGCAGCGTCACGTCCAAATGTCCCCCCAATATCGATGCAAACTCAGGGTGCGCTCCCATCACGTGGGCATCTCTTCGTGCCACTCCCGGAGGTCCTTTGGATCGAACTGGAAAGGCAAGTGCTCGATTCACCGAGAGACGATCACGGACGGGCGCAGCTTCTTGGGATACGGGCAGGGCAGAGATACCAACGTCGAGTACTGCGCCTTGCCAGAGGGTCCTGCCCCACCGATGAGACACTTGAGGCCACGCCATTACAAGGCATCGTTCACCCTGGCAACTGCGCTAGCTGCGGTTGTTGGCTGCATCACTGCTCACTGGGAAGCTCCCAAGAACCCGTGAGACCAGCTGGACCTCCGCGACGCTCTGGCCACCTGAGCTTTTCGACGCCTCGGATGAGAGACCGATGAGACTTGCGAGCCAGGAGCGGCCAGGACGGCGGTGGCAGGGTGGATGATTCGCATCATTCTGGGCGTTTTTGTAAACAGGTCGAGGCCGACCGAACCATCAGGTCTGGTTTGTGTGTTCCCAATCGAGCGGATTCTCTACTGGTGTATGTGCCTACCTGGGAGAATTGACACTTCAAGAGGGCCTGCCCCTACCCACAGCCCTTGAGGGTAAAACTCGTCCATGTGAGATGACAGATAAGCAACGACCTTCTTACCCCAAACAATACTACAATTTCTGATGACCCCGTTGGCCCCTTGGCAAATATGATGCCAGAGAAAGGTGCGGAACTGTGGACAACTCGATGACTCGGTGATATCAACCTTTCTGGCTGGAAGCCGGACCCGAATCCTCCTGCCTGGTCACCCTGGTCCTACTTTGATGGGTCGGAGCTCTTCACCAGCTACGCAATCAACCCTTTCGCGAAGGCCATGCGGGTGGTGCTGATAATCTTAGCCCGGT